CAATATTTTTACCGTATCTCTATCTTTTTTCTACTTACTTTCTTTTCCTTGTTTTACTCTGCGAATTCATATTACCGATTTCTGATCAATTTTAATGTATTGTTAATCACTTTCTTAATTAAAAATTAATTCTTAATTAATTATTCTTAATTAATAAAATCAATTCTATTCATTTTTTATATGTCGTAAGTGTTTTTTAATTTTTATATTTTCATTTCTTTAATTTTTATTATAATTTTAAAAATATATTTTATTATATTGTTCATAGATGGGTCTCGATACGTAGTCACCTCCTCGTTGGTGAGACCTGGTAATTGGCATCACTTTTCAAATATTCGATTTAAAAAAATTTATTATTATATTGGAAAAATTATATTAGTAATATTATATTAGAAAAATTATTTTATGGAAAGTGATGGCAAGCTAAGAACTACGTACTAATAAATAAAAAATAATAACTTCTTATATAAAAATTTCTTTTTTATTTTCAGCTTACAATTTGAATTTTTCCTGTTTCTTTTACATCATAATACGATATCAAATTACTTTGGGATTGAGGAATAATAATGCTCATTGATTACTTAATTGAATATTTTTAAGGTAACATTATACGATATGATTTTCTCACCATATAATCCAAGTTCATTATATATGTATAATGATTTTATTTCATTCATATAGGTATTACATATACCATGTTGACGTGAAATTCTTATGCTATAATGAAGAAATAGATCATAATATAGTACATTAACCAGATTTTGCCATGGAGTTGCCTTTGGGTTGGTTAACGAGAATATCATCTTGCATTTCAGCGATGAATTGAGTTGTAAATTTATACAGAAGATATCAAAGCTATTTATGATATCACAGAGACAATAGATCGTTCAAGCCACTATGTTAATTTTCCCTTTAGTAAAATCAATAGAGTGGTAATTTTATATAAACATGAAATATATCAATTTACGTTATTAATTACACGAGAATATATATGTATGATAAATAAATAAAAATAATGGATAATAATGTCAAATCATATTATCGTTTGGAATAATATTTTGCATTAAATTTTATCATAATAAATATGCAAATAATTTCTATCAAATTAAAAAAACGATATCATTTGAAATTATCGATTTTTTGATTAAATAAATGATAAAAAGTAATTGCAATTAATTATAAATGATATTACGAAATATATATTTTTTAAAGAAAAATAGTTACATGATAAAAATAATGTTTTTCGATATAAAATAATAAAATACTATTGAACAAATATAATTAATAGGAGTGATAAAATATTTCAAACATTTTTCAAATAATTTTTTCAATTTAATTTAATTTATATATAAATTTTATTAAATTCCATTCAACGAATTCTTTTGATCAAGAAAACAAGTTGGATAAAAAACAATTTTTTAATTAAGGGAATAAAAATATTTTCAGTAGAGAACATTTTGAAAAATTAAAAATTTATTCTTTGTTACAGAATAGTAGCGTGACACATGGAAAACTTAATATGAATTAAATGGAATTATATTTAAAAATATTAATTTTTTAATTTTTGATAAAATTTTTTTACTTTTTTTTTTTTTACATCACATAGTCATCACGTCACAGGAGATGAAAGGTAGAGTATTTGAATATAGAATACATTTTAAGTGGAATTTTTTAAATGGGAATTACGAAGACATTGATGACGTTTTGAATTATTCTAGTATAAATGCATAAATTCTATATCCATATATAAAATTTGTTAAATACGAGGAGAATTATTCCATATGAAATATCGCATGAAAAAAGCTTTCTAGTTTATTTTATTTCCATTTCATATTTCATCCATTAATCGAAATAGAGTAAACTGACAATTAGAAAGCATTTTCATTTTAAATTTTGGCTATATATCTTTCACTTATTTATTGCTCGTTTTATCGTTTAATGAATTAAATATTTACAGAATATTTCGTAATAGCGTAATCATTTTTTAATACGTTTATTCCAGTAGCATTAGCAAGTAAAATAAATCACGTTTATAGCATTTTAATAAGCTGAATATTAAAATCATTATCATTATAAAGTTTGCAAAATAAAGATTAATAATCGAAAAAAATCTAAATAAATAATTTAAATATGGATCAAAAACTTTATTTAATAATTAAATAATAATAACTTATTTTTACGTTTACAGTATACAGTATACACTATTATCATTGGCAGAGATTTTCATTTTGGAAATTCTATATGTGTGCTCTGCCATTATGACTCAAAATTTGGAAAAGGATAACAAATATCATACAATTAACGAAAATGATACACAATTAAGATAAAAATGTACGCGATAAAATTCAAATTTCCGTTTAAAATTTATCACATCAAATTAAATCATATATTATATAGATATTTGCAGAAAAGATAACATATATGTAGGTTATTTGTTTTTCAAAAAGTATACAATATCAATTCCAATGAAAATCTTTCGTGTGAATCATCTATAGATATAAAATGCTTTCGAACGAAGCCAAACAAACGATTAAATATTTTTCATTTTTTCTATTATAATAAAAAATAATAATGGACGAACTTGTTTTTTATGAAATTTAAAAAAAAAAGCAAAATTTAATATTAAAGCAAAATTAATTTAAATAAAATCGTATTTCATACGATTGTTAATTACAAAAAAAGAAAAAGAAAAAAAGAAAGAAATTGAATTTGAATCAAGATAATGAACAAATTAATACGAAAGATGATTGGTACTGCTAAATAATACGCTGATAAAAGATGAATAAAAATCTGTTTTTGATCTCTTGTTCATTCTTGCACCGAATTGTTTATAATCGCATAAATCAAATGCAAACAGTATCAATTGTAAAAACACGTATAGAAGGTCTGGAACGATATATAAAAGCAGTTGAAATCGGAATTTTCATTAAGTTACAGGGTACAACCAAACGAATAACATGAATACATTCAACATGTCTCGCATTCTTCTTACTCTCCTAACCATTTTGGCTATCTTCTCTTCCTGTAAGTAACTACATTGAAATAAATTATTATTTGTGTTATACTCGACTCATTTGCATTCAATCAAGAAAGTTCTCTTTTTATATGCGATTTAATTTTAATTCCATTTCGATCTTGCGTAATTTCAGAGTGAAAGATGACGTTTAAAATTATTTTATTTAAAAGAAAAAATTAAATAATCAAATAAATTAATCCATTCAAGTTTCTATCTGATAATTATAACCTCAAAAATCTTAATAAAATTTTCATTACTTGTTTCAATGCTAGTACAATTTTCTGGAATCATGCAGATTTCAATATCAGTGATTTACGCGCAAAAATTTAAATATGATCTTATTACGTAAAATATTCTAATGAAACATTTTCATTAAACAGCAACACTGGCAAAAGGAATATGTTCAGAGAACGAAGTATGGCAGAGCTGTGGTACTGCCTGTCAGCCATCTTGCTCTAATCCCTTACCCATATGTACACTGGTTAGTATTTTAATTAAGAAATTACATATCGAAAGGTTACAACAAATTATTTCGTATAATAATGCAAAATATTTTATAATTGCGTTAAGACAATTTTCTTAATAATGTAATTTTAATATTATATTTCCAGCAATGCGTCCCAAGCTGCCAATGCGAATCTGGATTGCTTAGAAACGAAAATAAGGAATGCATTGAACCGTCTGAATGTTAATCTTGCAAAGTGAAGCATCATTTATTATTTGCAATCATTTATTTGAGAATGAAGGCCTTGCCGAGCAATTGTTTTATCATCGTATATATAATGAAACGAAATAAAGAGTTTTAATTCAAAAATCAAACTCATTCTCTCACATTGTTCCCCGCATTAAAAAAAATTACAAAATTCTTTGTAATTAACTCATCAATTTTTTAATTCGCATAGAAGTAATATGAACTTTATTCCGTAGATTAAAAATGTTTTGGCTCCTTTGAATTGAATTTTTTCGTAGAATATTAAAAGTATCCTAATATCTTCCTTTCGTGACACTTTCTCTTCTTCAAAGGTGAATTCATCCTTTGAAAATCGAACATCTACTTCATTTACACAAAAATTACCTCGTTGAGATATATTTAACCACTAACACACACACATGCATACACACAATGAATTTTCATTAAAATTATGATATTTAAATTAAGTATCTCCAAATATGGCACGTATCAAGGATGTTTCCAAGTATATATCCAGTTATCATCAGATTATACTTCGCTTGCGAGTAAATATTTTTCTCGAAATGCAAGTTCTCTCGAAGAAATTATTAAATAGTGAGACGAGTAGTAACAATGATGCAACAATTGTTGTTCAACCATTATCGTATTGGTACAATGGATAAAAAGAACAATAGCGAAAATTTCATCTCGTGGAAAACTTGAAAAAGAAAAAAGAAA